TTGTGCTAGCACAGCCGAGGATCACTCCATCCATTACATATGTTTTGGTTTCAGTTTCAAAGATGCTGTGATAATTTTTGTGGAACATTTTTGTCTATGTAAATATTCTGTAAGAGCTTTTACAGTCCGCAGACAAAATTTATCAGTTTTTTGTGTTCCTTTTGATATACTGATAAGCAATCTTGACTGAAAGTGAAATTAAAGTGATGATTATTGTTGTGTGTCTGTTCTAGGTTGATATTGCATGTTGATGTTCATCACCGCATGATGCACTTGCTTCCTGTCTGTGTTGATGCTTTGCTGCTTTTATGTTGCATAGCAAAGCTGATCATCTTGAGTTGATCATGCATGATTTTGTTTTTAAATAAGGAACAGAAACAGAATGAAGGAATGGTAAGAATAATTTTAAGATGAGTTTGCTGTGAAAATGAATCTAATGAACATTAGAGATAAATGGAAATGAAGACATTAGGGCACCAAATGTATGTTTTTTTTGGTTGTGAAGTATATTGTTAGTATGAGTCGTATAACCGTTTCAATGTCGGTACTCGAGTCATGGCAGGAATAACCTGACCACTTGTTGATACTGCTTGTTCACCAACAGCTGCTTACAAAGAGAGAGACAGAAAAAAAGATAGAGGCAGCAAAATGGATGCAGTCCTTGATTGCTTAAGGTGGGTTGTACAGGGTTAAAATATTGTTTCTGGAAAGACATTCAAATAGATGGGTGCAGCACTTCAATACATACTGAAGCTAACATAGGACAGCTCAAGCATGTACTTGAATTGTTAGTGAAAGGGTTAATTGTTTTATTATACAAAGGACTGAGAACCGAAATACTAACTAATAATAATAGTAGTAGTAGTATTAGTAATAGCAACAACAAATAGGTTGTAATGTATCCTGGTGTCTGCTGTGAAAAAGTGTTAACTTCTGTTGTAGTGCAGTATGGATTTGTTTTTATACAGTTTTGAAGACTTAATTAAAATAAACAAACACCTTCAAAGTACATTGTTATATTATTTGAGAAAATTTCATTCCTGCCAAACAAGTTTGATTTGATTTCCAAATAACTAAAACATTTCACAAAGACAAAACAACTCCATCCAGTGCAGCTATTTAAGTTTTTACTACTTGAAAACTTAGCACCCTTACATGTTTCGCTCCTTATGGATGAAGTTGTTTTGTCTTTGTAACTGTTAGTGTGACGGACCAGAACGAAACAAATCAGATTAAAAATATTTCACATCTACACTTGAGTATTGATTAAAATTATAATGCTCTGTCTAAATATTATGCGTTCATGAAGTGTAGTAATATTTGGCAAAAGCAAACTCCAGTGGTGATAAGTATGTAGGAGTTGTGGAAGCTGCATATAATTTGACTTTGTGTTCTGCAACTTGAAACAAGTTTGGCAAAATAGTTTCATCTTATTTGTGAAAAGAGGGAGAATATAATGACCATGTGTTTACTGTGTGACAGGTTTGGAAATGCGTAGTTTAGTGTGAATAAGGTATGCTGTAAGACTTCAGAGGTTAAGTATGATTAAAAGACCAGGAACAATACTCCCCATCCCTGGACCAGTGCAATGTTGACAAAGTGCTCAGTGTATCAAAATTAAGTGTGTGTCACACACAGACACACGCACATGTATGACAACATTAGTGTGTTATAGCCGTTATCTTTAACACATTGCGGACCGGTGGTTTAAACATTTAAATCACCCTGGGGACTGGCGTTTTTAAACCTAGTACCCTAACTTGTGCACTGTTCACTTTAAAAATTAATATAAAATCTCCTAATTAATTTTATGAACTGAAATTTTTGGAGAACACTTACCAGAGCTCCTAGAAGTGCTTGCGCATGTGATATCTCTGGAAACATTCCCCTTTGTGAAGAGGCATTATGCAGAAGTTGCACATGTAGGCAGTTCTACTCTTCTTCTTGTGCTCTGTGCACACACGGCACTGCCTAGAAGGGTGTTTCTTCTTGCAATATTCACTCTTCACAGTTTTCACGAGAATATGTTTCCACATATCACCCGAGAGACGGCCAGGGGGGTCTACTTGAGGCCTCTGGCGGGTCCGAACAGATGGCCCCGGCTGCACTACGTCTGTGTCTGACGCAGGTACTGCCGCCACCGTGACGTCAGTAGCCCACGCTTTTGCCAGTTTCAACAGATATGCTTTGTATTTCAAAGTAGAATTTCTGTTCACCTTTTTGAAAACCGTAAATGAATTGAAAATTGCACAGTTTATAAGCCACAGTGCAACTTTCTTCGTCCATTTTACTGTTTTCCTAGGAAGGGAATAATAGGCCAAGAACTGGTCGGCCCTATCAACTCCTTTCATGAACATATTCTACTCGGAAATACAAAGAGGCTTCTTTACTTGCCCGTGTCGTCTTTGAGCATCGACCATGCTCGAATTGTGGAAACCATATTCACAACGCGAGTATCCCTCCAGGACTGAAGAAGAATGTCCCACTTCCGTCAAAGAAACTATCTCCAAAAAACAGTGACGCAACTTCAGACATGTCCGTTGGGTCCGATGGCATCTGCTTCACCCCCGGATCACCAGTAAACTTTCCCAAAGTGGGGGTTTTGTCCACTTTATCCCATTTAGCTGTCCCGACACTCGCACTTTCAACGGAGCTCTCACTTTCACTTGACACATTTTGGGCAGCCCTGTGGCCCCCGTCACTGTCACTGTCACTGATAATGGCCTCGCTATCAGAAGATGAAGCAGTTGGCAAATCTGATAGCTCATCAGAGAACATATCTAATATTTCCTGTCCTCCGAGAGATCGCAACTGCTTTCGTCTCTCAGCCATGTTGAACTGGTAGCTGTGTGGTTCATACGTGCAAGCTTGGATTAGAACAAAGCCAATTTTGTTAAGGTTGTGACAGGAAATGACTCTGGTCGAGTTACTAGATAAGGCAGCAATCATTCCCGAGGTCATCTACGCAATAGTTACAATTCAGCGAAGCCACACAGCGATATATAGCGTTTTGCAACAGAATGTGACCGTAGAGGGTCATATGGCCCGCCCGGTCCGCACCGCTTGGAAACGTGGAGGGCCATATGGCCCGTCCAGTCCGCAATGTGTTAAAAGAGCATTTTATATTGTCACATGCTAGTGACTAGACATGGGGTTTGGATTTATTCAAATTTTATAAATTGTAACTGCAAGTAATATGTCACTATCACTGATTCATGCACCTGACTTCTCACTACAGCATGCACTAAATCCATTCAGTTTGTCTTCACTAGCCATTGCTAGATTACAAATCCCAGCAAAGTAGATTCCTTGGCTTCTGTGTTCATGTCCTTACTGGCTGGCGACTGTCTCACAGTGAACTCATAACTCCAACTGTCTCCTCTCAATTAACTCAACTAACTGACTTCATAGTCAGTTACTTTATGACTGACAATTTACTGCCAATCAGTTTGTCTTTGCACCAAGCCCCTTGAGGCTCATGAAAAAAGATTTTCCTTTTTCAACTGAACACTTGCAGTCATAGTTCTTATGTAACATCCTCTCTGATGAGGGGATGGGTTTGTCTCTTACGAAAAGGCATTGCCTTTGTCAAGTGTACATATTGCACATATAGCATGTTATTGAAAATTTATCCTTGTGCATTATATACAAGTTTTCTGTCAGTCCAGGCTTTGCATAGCAGATCATGTCAATCTTACTTATCTTATGCTGCAATGGCAATTTAGTTACTTGAACAGTCATAAGCTTGACTGCTGCCAAGTTTAAGCCTTTTGTATTTTCTGTGTCTGGCTTCACCTTGTCCTATGCTGCGAACATGTTCATTCTTATGATTTTGTATGACTTCTGCTTGTTGCCTGCACAATTTTGTTATGTAATCTTGTCCCACACAGAAAATATCTCCAACAGTTCTTCTATTGCTGTGTGTTTATTTGTTGCATAGCAATGGCTCATTGTTTGATGACATAATAGCATGTTTGCTGTGATTTTGCCTAGCAGCAGGTGACATCTCTTGTCATGTCACAATATGAAAACAACATGAGTAACACCTCATTAAAAGCTACAGCTGTTGTCTTCATCATATTTTTATGTGTTTTGTATTCATTAAAATATGTTAAAAATTATTTAGTGTTCAGTGTAAACCAAAATGTAATTTGTATGGTCAGTTTTAATTGGTATCCTTAAAGGCTAAATTTTATCAAAATTTTGTTTTTCCAATGCTACGATGTTGCATGTACATTGTCTTATGTGACAAAATTATTACATTGTTTTTAATTACATATAGAGAAGGTGGCACAAGAAGACAGTTTTGGTTGTAAGAAGCAGTGTCATTTATGAGCATATTAGCTTCTCTTAATACAGTTCACCACTGATGATTTGTTGGTTAGTTCAAAGTAACATTCAAATCATTAACAATAACTGTGTTGCTCTTACTTTGTAGTTTTGAACTCATTTTGTTTAAAGAAATACTGATAGAATATTAGACCAAAGTGAGCTGTAGCTCGGTCATTAAAGTTACAGACTATGGACTGAATGGCTGTGAATCAAATCCCAGTAGGAATATGGAGATTTCTCTGCATTTTGATATCTAAAACATTTTCAAGACCCAGTCATCCCTCTTTGAATGGAAACTTAGGGTTCTTTCCCTAAGTGTAAACTGATCATTCACTTTCAGTTAATGCCAAGATGAAGAATGCTCGCTGTATGCCTTTGTGGTGTGCTGCTTAAATGCAAGGATAACTTCTTTACAGTTATATTACCCCCAAATCAGCAGTAAGTGCAGTGTAGTATCTAATATTGATTAGTGTAGTCAACAGATTTGTATCTAAAGTAAAAGAACAGTTAAAGACACTGGAAGAAAACAAAGGCACAAAGAACTGGTCATATTCATATTATTAAAGATACATCACTGTTGCACTGCAGAGTGAATATACTGTGCTTGCTGCACTGTTCTGTATGTACCTGTACATGATTTAAGTATTTAAGCTTCTGATTGGTTATAGCCCGCAGCATATCGGAGGAGTTCAGCAGTGGTGACACACGTTACCGTGATAATGATGATTACCCACACACTCGAGAGAAGGGGAAGGAGAAGGAGGACCGGGATGAAGGTAAGAGAGGCATTCTCCAGTGAGTATAACATGTGATACCAAATGTGGTGACTTGCACAATCACTGCTAGTAATGGCTGTCGATACTGTAGCTCAGTAACTGCAACATTTTATATTTTCTTCAGCGGATTTCATTCAGTTGTCACAGTAGTTTTACAAATCATAGTGGGTTTTGGATTTTCACATATGTTCAACAGAGGAAGTATTTTCCCAAAAGGTTAATTAATTCTGTTCAATGTGACTGATGAAGTCTTTTCTTTTTAATCTTTTATCCTTTACATATTTCGGTCCTATAGACCATCTTCAGAAGGGTATCAATACAAAAAACCATATTGTAATAGTGGTTTCTAATTGTATTGATATCCTTTTGAAGATGATCTATAGGACCAAAACATGTTAAGGATAAAAGATTAAAAGGAAAAGACTTCATTAGTCATACTGGACAGAATTAATTAACCTTTTGTAATATTGTTAGTCTGACGGACCAAAATAAAACAAATCAAATGTATTTTCCCATTGACAACTCTTGTATCAGTCTGTTTAGCTGTTAATACTTGTAAGTAATCCACAAGCTTGAAGTGGATTTTGAATTCGAATGAATAAGGAAACAGACGCAATGAGAATGCAAATTAGGGATAAATAATCAGGGCTTCTTTCTGTGGTATGAAATTTTCTAGTTAAACTGTCTTCATAATGCAGGCCCTCATTTCTTGTGTGTGCCATATGTCCCATCTAACTCATCCTCTGTGGTTTAATCACCAGAGTAATATTAAATGAATAGCACATATTATGAGAACCATCATCTGTTACTTTTCATACCTTAAGTAAAAATATTCTCCTCAGCACTTTATTCTAAAACATGCTTTAATAGTTTTTTCTTTTCTTAGTGCAAAGGTTTGGGCTTCTTATCCATATAAAACAGCTGGTAAAATTACAGTTTAATCTTTAGAGTCTTAGATAGGTCGTGAGGTCAAGAATACTATCTTCTGGAATGTGACAAGTTACCCCTCTGAGAATGTAAAATGTAACTAAATTAAACTGTTCATTTATTATTGTTTGTGATTAAATTTTAAAGGAAGATAAAGATGACAGATCATTCTTGCATGCAAAGGGAAGCAAGAACTAACTGCATACAAAATTTAATGGGTAGAATTTTAGGGGAAAAGACAGTTAGGGAGACTTATGCACACATGAGAGCATAGCAGCATGATAGAAATATAGTAATGAACATGTGAACTGGATCAAGATAGGGTCCATAGGTAAGCTTTTGTTTTAATGACAGTTAAACATGGGAATGATATTATCAGGTAAAAATTGGATTGTGTAGTATATAATGAATGCAGTTGAGAAAGAATTTTGTTAGGTCAACTCAGAAACCATAAATAACAGAGTTATGCAAAATAAATTTGACATTACATTAAAAGTAACAAACCCTCTCCCTTATCCACTCTTCTGTCTCTCAGATAAATAACTTGTTACAATGATTATGCTGCTGACCTATATTCAGGATTTGTTTGTGCTGTCTTCTAGTTAGAAACTGCTGATCTGACTGAAGTATTTTGTGTTTTCCCCATCAAATGTAGGCACATTAGTGTATATTAAATTGGTATTGCTAACCTGATAGCCCACTCTCTGGCCTCTGAAGATCCTGACTGCACCATCTGAGAAAGGTTGGGGTACAGTATAGGAGTCTTGGTCTGAGAACTGAGTGAGGTTATGTGAATATTTGTCTCCTTTATGAATCTTGGAAAAAACATAATCTTCCTCCTGAATGTGTCATTATTTCTCTTTGTAGTTAATTTCTTGGTTTATTGAATGATGTTTGTAAACTTCTTAGGTTATATATTATTAAGTGACAGTAGCACTATAAATGACAAATTGGCAATTGAATTGGAAAGAAGTGGTCATAACCTGTGCAAATGTTTTCCCAGAGAGGCTGAGGAAAACCTTCTGCCAGGACAGTTAACTATGTTGAGATCCAAACCCAAGACCTTCAGAATTCAAAGGAAAGGATCATATTGTTTCAGTTTGTCTCTTATGATGGTAAGGATCTTTTCCAAATAGGATTTAGGAAACCTTAACAGTAGACAAAGTTAGACTGAAATTTGGATGGCAAATCAGGTATGTTGTGCTCTTCTGGTAGAAGTCTTTGCTGGTCCTCCCATGCAGTGAGTTATGCCACATTTTCCACATAGAGTTTAGAGGAGCTCTACAGTAGAATAAGGGCAAGGCTGAGATTAGATTCTGGTGCCAAGAAGAAGAATTAGATGTACATATTTGTTTTAATGCATTGTATTTTATTTATGCCTTATTTAATTACACTGTCAGTAACTCAGTAGTTAATGGTTAGTAGTGAATGGTGGGATGATCAGTGAATAATGAATGGGAAAAGATGTAGAGTAAAGTGGTCATGTTCTAATTTGAGCCACTATTGGGAATTTGTCTGGAGGGACTGAGGAAAACCACAGAAATCAATCATGTTAGCTGGTCAGTGGGCCAAGACTTAACCAGAGATTTCCCGAATACAAAGCAGGATCACTGTTCTCTTTATTGCTGTTTTCACTAGTCGTACATACTGAAGTGATATAAAATGTTATTTTGTGATCTAAATAAATGTGTGTAGTTGTAGTATCAAATCAGGTATGGCCAGTTGCTCATACTCATGTAGTATTTACATATATTAAACTGTATATATATATTTCATTTCCAGAAATTATTAAAGTTTATGATGGCAACGGTTCATTTCGGCGCCGTATTTTTCGCTTAATCTGTGTGTCAAGACAGTCGACAACTGAGGAACTACTTACAGCTGCATTGCGAGAATTCCGTATCACTAAAGATCCAGGTGAGTTACTGTACCCTTAAAGAAACAAGCAGTCCTAACAGTCAGCTTACAAACCATTCTGAGTGAATACATGATCACCTACTTAAGTCATCTCCATCGACACAGCTGGTCAGTCATGTATGATGTTGCCATTAAAATAGATACTCAAAAACTACCTTCCTTTGAAAGTACTTTGACAGGTATTGCTTACTGTGATATGCTGCTACATATTAAAGGTGATGATAGAAAATTAAGTTATATTTTTCAGTAAGACCATACAGAAATACAAGAACTTCTGCAAAATCACAGTTGGCATACACTTTGATATAGCCAATGAGTATGCAGTGAACCCCCCTTTAATGTTTCTTTTATTTTCCCTCATTCAGTGGTTGTTTTCAATGATCTCAGTGTTAAATTGCCTCTATTTAAGATTCTCCTCAGTTTAGTATTAAGATGTACCTTAAAAGGGGGATTGTATGCAATTACTTTCTTTTTAAGTGCCTTAAAATCTGTAAAGCTACTCTGGGTTTGTCCTGTTTTGCAGTCTGTTGGAATAAATTTGCCCTTAGTGTGTTTTTCCTTCATTTTTCTTGGATAAATTATTCCATTTATTTTAACTGAGAATTATGCTCTTGCATGAAGACAGTGACTTATTACTTTGTGAGGTAGTCTTGGTTTTGACCAGGTGCTGGATTACAGAAAGACTGCCTCCTGGATCTTTAAACTTTCTTTTGTACTGGAAGAGCTCATTTTAAAAACGGAGCTGTTTGCTTCTTTTTTGAACAGGATTTGTATAAAATTGGTACATTTTCTTAGTATGGAGTCATATGCCTTGTGAATAAGATCTAAAAGCTTGTGACAATGGTACATTAGTACAAATATTATATTTCTAGACATTGTCCATTGTCCATTATCATGTTTTTATCTAAAATGGATAATGTCCAGAAACATAATATTTGTATATTCGTTTTGTTGTTGTTTCTGTTTCTTGCTTCCATAACCTTATAGCATACAGATGGTCACCCATAATAGCAGAAGAATAACATTTTTAGTCGCAGACCACTTGAAGCACTGCCACATCAGTATATATAAAATTCAAAGAATATTTAACTGATGTATGTACTGTAATCACAGTGACCTTTTAATTTAGTGAAATGCCATGAAAACTGTTACTAATAAGTACTTTTATGTGTAATTACCAGCAATCTGTGATTCTCTCTCCTCTGCCAAGTCTACAGAATAAAACTGTATTTTAATCTGAAATATCTTCCTCATTGGCTAAGGGAACATACCACTTCTTTTTAATCTAAATTATTCTAATAAGGTTATTTCTAAAAAATTCTCCATCCTGATATGCTCGTGTAGCTCATGGAAATTCATGTAGTAATATTCAGAATCACTGAATTCTCCAGTGTTTGAGTATCTGTTTGTGTATTACTTTGAAAACAGGTAAGTAGTTAGCCTATGAGTGATAAATCCAAAACTAACTAACACTGCTCTCTTCTGAACCTATAGATGTAATTGAAAGGGACACATTGAAAGATTTGGTTCTGATTGAATGTTTCACCAAGTATTTCAGAATTAACATATCCTGCTGATCTTAATCTTCTTAATGTACTCACATTGCATGCAATATAAAGTGTTCATGGATTTTGCAGGGTCCTTTTACTTAACGGACGTATATGCAAGTGAAGTTTCGAGGCTTGGTGAGGTGAATGTAGTTGATCCATTGCCTGTAATGAGTCTTCATTGTAAGGAGGGCAGACGGCCTGCAGTCTTCTTACGCTTCAGGTCAGTATGGATTTTGAGACACTGTTTAACCTGTTTCCATCTGTTGAAGGGCACCTACAATTTTGTAAATATTTCCCTCACTTTCTGAATGAGTGTATGTGTAAAATAGCAAGGGCTGTATTACCATGTTGAGATTCAGTTGGTAAGACATCAAGATGCCCCTGCAGTATAGTTATTTTGTCTGAGAAACAAAGTTCTTTATAATCTTTTTTCTGCCTTAGTAGAAATTTCTTGCTATAGATAGTTTTCAGTTTTTAGAAATCTGATGCTACATGCATAGCCTATAGCATTTGATTTCAATATTTTTCAACTCATGGATTGGTAAAACAGTCCATGGGCCAGTCCCTGTCTACCTAACATTATAATTGTTAACAAATCCAATTATTACAAATTGTCTAAATGTAAAGAGTTCTGTCTTGCAAGCTAACATTCAGCTGACTTATCTCTTAGAAAGTAAAATTTCTCATAACCATTGCTGTGAGAACCTCAGATCTTACATGTGTAAATGTGTTTATTTAAACTATGAAAACTGACCACTTATTGTGTTAAAATCAGATACTCATAATCACCTGCATTTAACATTCATAATTGGAAAGTGTGGACATAATAAGCTGTCAAAAATGCCCCCTTTAATGTGGAAAGTAATTTTGCTTGTCTTCACATAGTAAGAGTTCAGAAACGTAATCATGCCTCAGAATAAGTTATTTAATCAATGAAACGAAAAGGAACACAAAAAAAAATAAAGCCACAGTTGTAGAAAAGAACAAATTTTTGCAGTTGTTGCAAAATAGTGAAGCATAATGATAAATAGAATTTGTGGGCAGGCTGCTAGCCACGGAGCACATTTTGAGAAACATTGGTCTATAGGGCTTGGCTTGGCAGGCAGGCATAAACTAGTGTATAAATTCTGAGAAATGAATATGTTATATTTTACAATTACAGGAATATTATACACGTATATGTGATTTTGATGGTGCAGGGATCGTGACAACGACAGTGGTGAGGTGAGGGTGTACCCAGGAAAGCTGCAAGTATCTGAGGCCTACTGTACTGTCCCTGTAAATGGGGAAACAACAATAGCAGATCTGATTCGAGAATCACTGATTCGTTTTGGGCTCGAAAATTTTGAGTGTGAACAGTATCGTCTGAGTGAAATTCTGCTGGATAGAGGAGGTACATTTCAATAAAAAACAAGAACATTTTATATCTTCCAGCCACTTTCTGTAATGTTGTGGTATGTTGTATGGGCAGCCAGTAGATATTCAGCTGGTAATGGAATTCCCTGTTTCTCTGAAACCCAAAAGTTCATCATCATGTTTACAAAAGTCCATCTTGTGATCCTGACCTAAAATACTTGGCTCTAGTTAAAATTTTCAGAATCCGTTTTTCCAAAATCTCTAATAATGTTATCCTCCAAGTGATCTCTTTCCAAGAAATTGTCCATGTCCAGTTTAAATCTTAAGATTCTATTCTGCCAAGATCCATTTTAATGGTATCCATTCAGTTATATGCTTGGGCTTCACAGGTGATGTCTTTCTGTGATATTTTTGGGTATGAAAATTTTTATATATCTCTCAGTGTTCTGCAAGCCAATTTGGCCTACTTGGCTCATTTGCTGTAACTGATTATTCTGTAATATCCTCTGTTTACCTTGTCACTTCATGTTTCTTACATTAACCTTTATGAGCCGAAAGACACCATATGGGGACCTTTAAAGTAAAGCCGAGTGGCCGAACGACACCGTGTGGTTACTCGCAGTCCATGCGTGCGCACAGTGTTTTAAAATCTAATTTTAAGATAGAAATTCTTGTTCTACTTACATTATTTTTGGACACCAGCTTTATGAGTAGACTGTCTTCCCTCCTGTGTCATCTAACTGAATGTTGCCTTCATGTGGAACAGTTGGAAACATCCGGAAATGCAGAGTCCAATGTCGCACTTCACGCATTTTGTCCGAATGTAACTTCGTTTCCTATGTGAAGAGCATAGACGACATCTCAATCTCGAAGTAGAGGAAGTCGGCCAGTGATGTCGAGTGGCCTCCTCTAATCCAGATATCGCCGATGACACAGCAGGAGGTCGACCCATGGACCGTTGAGGGCGAGGTGGACCCCTTGCAACATGTTCCAGCATGTTGTGCACAAGGGCGAGACGAAATTCTCTGTGTGACAAGTTCGCGACACAGGATGACAACAGGATGAAACTGTTCAGAATCGTCATATCCAGGAAATGGAAAAATAGTTTAGTTGTCCATTTCCAGGTCCGACGACTGATGCTGTAACTGTTTGCCATTATGTCCACTTTGTCGACATAACCCATGTGCTTGTTGTAGTCAGCCACAATTGCTGGCTTGATGGCATTTCCATGCTCATCACAGAAACTGCCTTCTGCTGGCGGACAGTGCATGTTTTTCAGTATGTACTCGTAAACATCATGTTTGTCCTTCCAAACTAGTGCTGTCAAGTTCCGTCTCACCCTAACACGAATGTCACCTTTCTTCAGTCGAAATTGTCTTCGTCGAAAATCGTCAGGCAAGCCCTTCTGATTAGGTCTGACTGTCCCACAGCATGTTATGTCCTTTGTTGTCAGTTCCTCAAACAAGTCTGGTGATGAAAAAAATTGTCCATGTACAGTTTGTGACCTACGCCCTCAATACGTCTGCATAGGTCCCTAACTGTAGCATGTGTCGCTGTCACGTCTTGGTCAGCACGTGTCCTGTCTTTTCCTAGATAAACCTTCATGTCATAAGTATACCCAGCGGCGTCACAAATTTTGAAGATTTTGATTCCGAAACATTTGTGTTTCTTAGGAACATACTGCCTAAAAACCACCCTCCCTTTGAATTTAACAATTATCTCATCTATGGCCAAATGTTCGGAAGGGTTATAATATTTTTCATATGCGTCATTGAGAGTTTCGAAGATGGTCCGAATTTTCCATAGTCGGTCTAACTGTCGGCATTCCTGTCAGTTTCTGTATTGTTGTCTGCAAAATGAAGAAAATGAAGAATGTGTAGAAAACGGTCACGTTTCATTGTGTTAGAGTAGAAAGGCATGGCAAATTGTTCTGTAATTGACCAGTAGTCCTTTAGTCTGTCTCTAATGTCATGTCCAATTTGAATGATTATTCCTAGAAACAGAAACATCTCAGAATCCGTCATGTCAGGCCGCGGAGAAGGTCCGTCTTGAAGTTTGTCTAAGTACTGGTGGTAGTACCTATTCGTCTCTTCCACCAGCAGATGGATAATCCCTGTGAAGTAGAGCATGAAAACGCAGAAAGGTGTGGAATCCTTATTTATGTGTGGAGCTTCATTGATATTTAACCCCACAGCTCCACCGGAATAATTATTCACACTCCTTCTGCCATGCTGGTATCGTGGTCTGCAGGTTGCTGACGAAGATGATGGGTCTTCGTCGGCTTCAATTTCTGAATCTCTTTCTTCCTCACCACTCTCTGAGGTTTCTGTGGCACAGTCTGAATCTGTATCATTGAGCAGCTGGCACTCAATTTCATTTTCTTCCAAGCGAAACGAGACCATGATGGATGTTTTATTCACTCTACACAACGCACTACACTTGGAAGTTCTGGCAGTACTGTTTGTACAGTTTGGAGAACAGTATCGCTTGTGGCTCGTCTCAGATATAAACAGTCTGAGAGTGTCAAGGACAGAATACATAGCTTCGTCCACACTTGTGTATACAGAAAGGGTCTAGTCACTTGAAATGTGCTTTATAAACATAAGCTTCCAACCCACTTGCCAGATGAGATAGTACGAGAGTACGAATGATGTCAGCAGCAGGCATTTGTACAGCAGAAACGTTTTGTGCAGAAACTGTATGCATATTTGTGGACACGTTCGAAATTGAGGGAAACATTTTTTTTGAGTCAGTGTAACAATGTTTACAGATTCTAAAATCTGTAAATTACAATATCTGATTCTATATTCTTTCTAGATAAAAGCAGCGTTTATTTCGTTCGTTTATCACAAAAATTGCAGAAATCACAGCATTTTCAGTAACATGATTACAATTTTTATTACTCTAAAATGGCGGGCATTTAAATTAACTCCGGCCTGCGGCCATTACCGGAATTTAAATTTCCCGTCTCTTAAAGGTTAAAATATTCTACTCAGAATGTTGTTCTAAATCCTCTGTAGTTCTGCTTCCTGTTATGATTTGGAAAGAACGCAAGTTACTGTAAAACTCTGGTTCTGCTAGGCATACATGTCCAGTAACAGAAGTCCTTTAACTGGAAAAGCAAATGTAATGGAAGTGTTTATATTTTACTAAACTGAGACTGTTTGGCTTTGCAGTAACAGAGAGAGTCCTATCATGGGATGAACGTCCTTGGGAAATAGTGAAGCAACGTGGGAAGGAGTCAATCCGTCAGATGGAGCTTATGAGGTTTTATCTGCAGCTAAAGCAAGATCCACATGGTCCAAACCTTGCTCTGTTTGTTGGCAATCTACCTCCTAACCTTTCCCAGCGAAACTATGAAAACATGCTCACCGAGTTTCTGGGGAAGGGTAAGTAACCACACATCAGCTGATGATGATGACGATGATGACGACAATGATGATGGTGGCAATGACAGTATATTGTGGACTTGCAAGAATATCATCCTTTGACTCTCCTGTTGAAGATCACTGTCATCTTTATTACTTAAATGTCCCAGGTTGTCAGGCAAGAGGCCCCTTGGTTGGAGGGAAGAGTCCAACACAATCTGGAAATACCAGTCAAAACAAAATTTAGTGGCCTACCATGCCCAACCACTGGACGCAAAGACTGCTCTCTTATTACTACCCACACTGATGGAGGTCTTCCTTTCTAAATAAGAGAAAAAAGGGAAATCATGTGGTATATGGAATTATGGGATAGCAGTAAATGAGTGACTACATGGATGCCTAGGGAGGGGGAGCATGAAGGAGGGGTATGCCTGACTGAAACAGGCAACTCCTGAGCCATCCAAATGTAAACAAGGCTCATCCTTAAGACAGATGAAGCACACTTCCACTTATCTGGCTGTGTCAACAAACAATTTTTACTACTGGGTAGAGGAAATTCCACAGCAGTTCCATCAGTGGCCTCTTCACATTGTGTGGCTCTTTGATATGGAGTGGCGGCTCATATTTCTATGAACATAAAGACGTAATGAAATGTACACTTCTCAAATCGTCAGGTTCCTCTGCCGCAGCCTGTGTTATTTAATCTAAGAATTCACTTGTATCTTTATGAGGACACCAGGCCTCATATCCAAACAGTATTGAGGGCTCTTCTGGTGATTTTAAACAGATGGAACATGAATCTGATGACCCACCTTCAACTATTAACTGAGGTGCAGCTTTACCTCCACACCCATATACACTTTAATGGCATGGTGCTTAGGCACTGTGACAACTTTAGTTTTGCTTTAGTGACATGCAATTTATTACAAGCTTTATTTCTTTGTCATATAGTGGTACAATTCTATTACAAAAATATCTTTTGTGTATTTAGTGTCAATTCACATATTTTCATGTTTCCACCTACCATGTCTTACTTTATTACTCTTACTTGACACGTTTATATGTGGCTGACTACATATACAGTGTCATCACTATGTGCAAGAGGCAAACTTTCATGACCATATTCCTAATACACCTTCAGATATTATATATTTCAGCAGATTCTCTTGTGTGTCCTAAACTGTTAACTATCAGTACTGAGTTGTGAGATCCATTTAGTGACCATGATATAGACTCAAGAACAAATGGCAAGCCCTATGTCCTGTGGAAGTTTTTAATTTTGCATGTTTAAAAGTGTTAACACATTTAGGTTCCCAATTGTGAGACTGGATATGCTGATATAATTTAGTATTAAATCTAATTATGCCTAGAGAAGTTCGAAACTATTTTCTAAAATACAAGTTTTATGTGCTTTATATTCATATAAAATTACAGCTATACATATATATATATATATATACATACATACATACAACTGCATTTCAGGATATTCATAAGTGCAATCTGCACTGAATATGAAACATGTCACAAGCTTTACAAACAACAATACATCTTTACAATTCCAACATGCCATATCAAAATAACAAACTAACATAAATGCAAACAACTTGCATTTAAATAAATACATAAAATATAGATTATATTTACACTTAACGTCTATATTGATGACTACTGTGGGACATCTGTCAGTCAGCATGCACTCCCCTTCTATTCCTTAGCTGTTGATCCTGACAGAAGAGCAAAAATTCATCAACAGTATATGACGGATTATGTATTAGGACACCCCTTATTTCTTTTATAAACTGTTTTTTATCATGTATTAAATCAGTTAAATAATCAGGCAGACTGTTAAATATTTTTATACTCATGCAATGGACCCCTTTCTGACTCATTGCAAGATGTGATTGTAGGACATGTAAATTTCTTTCGTGTCTTGTCAGTCTCTCATAAATTGAATAATTAAAAGTAAAATACTCCCAAGTTATTTATCATAAAAGTCATCAAAGATAAAATATATTGAGAGACCAGTGTTAATACATTTAACTTGATTCTCTATGTTTCATCCCCATTATTTTTCTCATAGTCTTCTTTTGTAAGAGAAAGATCTTCTTGGCCTCTGACAAATTACCCCAAAAATCTATTCCATATCCCATGAGTGAATGAAAGTATGCATGATATATCATTTTAAGTGTCGTAACATTACTATATGTTTTCATAATTCGTATTGAATAACATGCCTTTACCAATCTGGGTAACAATGATTCAACCTGTGTCTTCCAATTCAAGAACTTATCAATTTCAATGCCCAAAAATCTAATATGAGTTTCCTCTTGTAATAATTCATTGTTAAACTTTAAATGTACAGGCATATTGTCATGATTGATTGTTTCAAATTTTAACACTTTAGTTTTCCTCAAGTATTTAAACCACTGACTTAAAGGAATTTAACATAAGTTTAGACCTTTCTTAAATTTCATTAATATTAATACCCGACACTAATATACTTGTATCATCGGCATACAACAATGACTTGTTGTCAGTACTTAATGCTGACAGCAGGTTATTAATATATAAAAGGAACAAGAAAGGACCCAAAATCGAGCCCTGTGGCACTCCATATTTGACAGTTCCCAGCCTGAACAGCATTTTCAATTCTCATTATTATAAAGTTTAACTCTTTGTTTTCTATTTTCAAGATAGGACTTGAACCATATTTTTATTTTACTACCAATGCTGTATGTTGCTAACTTACTCAAAAGAATATCATGACTTACAGAGTCAAATGGTTTTGTCAAATTACAGAATTTTCCTAATGAATGATTGCGTCTTTCCAACATTTCTAAAATATGATTAGTTAATGTCATTATATTGCCATTTCTGTGTTACTGTTTCCTCTAAATCAAAACTGTGTAAAAGATATTAAATTGTTTGTATGTATGTGTTGCTTTATCCTATTGTACACCACTTTTTCAAAAATCTTAGAAATACTTATTAACAGTGATATTGGTCTATAGTTTACCATAATTGCCTTCTCACCTGTTTTGTATATAGGTCTTAATGAGGCAAATTTCATTCTATCAAGATATATTCCTTGCTCAAGAGATGCATTAAGTATGTGACACAATGGTTTACTTATCTCAGTTATACAATATTTCAATATCTTACTAAAAATGCCATCATATCATGTAGAATCTTTTAATTTTTGCAACATAAGTATGCTCTTTATTTCCAACTCCATTGTAGGTATTAGCCTCAGTTCAGGGAATTTATCAAATTTCAAAGTGTCTAAGAATTTAATAGCTTCATTTTTACTGGCACTTTTCGTTTCCAGCTTCTCAGCTACAGTTATAAAGTATTTATTGAATATGTAAGTTTTGAGGTTTTCTCGGTGATGACTATGAAGAAAGTTGTCTTCTGGGTTTAGGCGCCGGGTATTCTTCGTTTTGGCTGATGTTTCGGAGGAACGTATCGCCTCCATCTTCAGAGCAGGTGCTCTGCATTCTCTCTGCATTCAAAGCCATTCACCTGCTCTGAAGATGGAGGCGATACGTTTCTTAGCTTTTTTTATTACTTTCGTTAATGTCATACAGTACTTTTTATAGTATGATTCCAATCTTTCATCCTTTGATTTTTCATCTAAGTTGTATAAAGCTCTTTTATGATTACAAGATGTTCGTATACCTTTGGTTATCCATTTATTGGTGTGTTTCTTTTTTTTGTACACCAGGGGAAAGCTGTTTTCTACAATTGTTAAGAAAGTATTATGAAATGTATTAAATTTCGTATTAACATTCTCTTGATCATAAACTGCTTCCCAGTTTTCATTTTGTAATGCCCGTTGGAAATATGCTATGTTCTCATCATTAATATCCCTAAATGCTCTTTCATGGTCCCTTTTCCTTATCACCTGTAAATTTTCAAGTATTAAGATTTGCCCATCATGGTCTGAAAACCCATTTGTTGCGGAATGGGTTTGAAATTTATTGAAGACATTCTTATCTAAGAAGAAGTGATCTATGAGTGTGACAGAAGTGGGACCTATTCTAGTCGGACAGTCAGTTATTTGACCTAGATTATAAGTATCTAATAAGGATTGTAACTGTATTATTTTATGATTTTCATTAAGGTAATTTATATTTGTATTGCCACAAATTATCAGTTCCAATTTAAGGCTTACTAAATATGAAAGTGTAGCATCCAGCTGCTCAATAAATTGGCTGGTGTCCCCATCTGGTACTCTATAGAGACATAAAATACCTAATTTCTTATTACATATAATTATCTTCAGTGCACAGGCTTCGAAAACCTTCTCCCTACTTAACTTATTAAGATCTAGCTTTTGATATGTTATATTGTTCTTAACTAATATACAAACTCCTCCATTCTTAGACATATTATGTGAAAAACCTGTTGCCATTTTATATTCTGTCATGAAGAATATGGATAGCTCGTCTGCACTCAAATGATGCTCACTAATACATAAAATATCAGGATTATTATATACATTGTTTAAAAAATAGCTAGTTCTTTTTTATTTCTAATGCTTCTTATATTTTGATGGTATATGACAAAAGAATTCTGCTGACTATTGTTTCCATTTTGAATTATTCCCATAAAACATCCTCAGTTCTCGTATTTGGGATCTTCCGACGTCTTCTAGGGGGAATAGTTTGCAACACTACACTGGCTATTCCCTGATCATCAGCTGAGATTATTGTTGCATCCTCCTTCCATGTTAAACCAATTGCCATTCCAATTCATATTTCCTGCAGCTCCATCTCATTTTTTTCCATTAATAGCGTTACTAGCTTGTCTTTACCTGAATTTCTTATATGTAGTCCATGACGTGTAAAATCTTCTCTTACTAGGTCTATGTGCATCATAGTTGTATGCCTGTACTCGTTGGTAACGTCATTCAACTTCTTATTAAAAACTTTAACCTCCTCATTAACTATTGATGTTTCTATCAAAATATTCGTGTGTCGATTCCCCAACAACAAATGATGTATCCACTTAAGTCCTCTTGAGGTATTATTCTTCATAATGATGTTTGACCCTCCAAAATATATGAGTATGTCCTTTCCTGTCAATCCACCAATTTCCTGCTGTGCAGTTTTAGACAATACTTCGACATTTGCTCCATGTATAACATAGCCTATCACTTTACATTGTTCTTTAAATTTCTCCCATAATATACTAGGAAAGCCCCTGGCATGACTATCTCCAATTAGCACCATTTTGTGTTGTGTATTTATTTTTTCTTCTGCTAATTCCGATGTAGCAAGACTTACCATAAACATCGGATCGCCTAATATACTCTTTCTCTTTGTGTATTGTGGTGGTTGTACTCTGCTGATTTGTGTAGTATTTATGACTGGGATATTCTGAATAGTATTACATGTAATGTTATGCAAAATATTCCTCTTACTTATTCCAACAGCTACATCAGTCCATTTTGTTCCTGGAGCTTCTAGTCCTTTGTTGTTACTACTCCTTATTTTTACTTCATGTTCCAGTTTCACTATCAAGACATTCATAACCTCTCTCACATGCGAACGGGCTGCCATGTGCCTAAATTCACATAACTCTTCCAAATCTAGCTCAACATCTAAAATATCATTTCTATAATCTCCCTTATTTCCATTATTCAACTTCCTGGTAACTCCACCATCTCTCTTTTGCACACAACTTATTTCTACATTCAATATAATAACACCATCAAACAACATCCATGTCACTGCCGCCATATATATATATATATATATATTAATTGCAATAAGGAACGAAGTTGAAGCATTGCCTTTGATTACAGAAAACAAGTTTTCCTCCATTGGACCAATTTACTATGAGTATGGGTCAATGGTCATCACCTATGAAGATTCCAACAAGGCTGTACGAGCTCTATACTGTCTGCGAGAATCTTGCTATGAGGATAAACATCTTTTGGGTAAGTATGAGCTTGCATTTCTCTTATTTGGGAACACTCAGGAAACAATATTAGGAATGTCTGCAACCTACTCAGAGTACAGCCTGTTTGGCAGGAGCTGGAACTTTTCTCTTGAATGCCACATCTAGATCAGCTCTAGGGTCCACCCAATTCAGTGGATAATAGGAACAGAATAATTTTCTCACATATTTGGGGTTGTGACTGTAGATGGGGTATGGATTGGATATTGGATTTAGTGGCACAGCTCAGAACTACAGGTAGTTACAGCTCTGTCGCTGATTCCTATTCACAAATCACCAAAGCACCTGCTAAGCCTTTCTCAGCCTGCTGTGTCTTCACCAGCCATTCCCTGGTAACAGATCCCAGTACTGCCCTCTGCTCACGTCCTAACTGTCTGGCAGAAGGCTCACAACTGCGCTGTCAACTTAATTATAGAGCCGTCTCTTTTCAACCTCCCTTACAGAGCTTAACTGATGGTTGCCACAGCTCTCTTCTTTATAACTCCTCAGTGCGGACCTCATAGACAACACAATATTGCATGCATAATCATTGTCCAGAAACAGGTCTGGTATAACTACATATCTCATGATAATTGCATAGCAACAGCTGTATACACACTACAATATAAATGAAAGCTGAACATTTATTGCATATTGTAGTAGAGTGCTTATTACTCCTTCACATTCAGAACGTTTTGGGTTTAGATCTCAACACAGAAGCTGTGTATCCTGAATATGGATTCCCTCTAGACAAATTTTGAGATGCTATCCTTATATAGGCTACAATTTCTCCCTTCGACATGCTTTTTCCTTGATGCTGCATATTCAAGGCTGTAGAGAAAGCACTGGTAAATAAACCAAGAGACATGGACACATGTAAATGCATGTTCCCTGTTGGAGGTAACCTTTCAATTCTTTTTTTTTCTAAATTGATAGTATCTCTTGATGAGGTCCATTATCATTTTCTTATCATACAGTAAGGACATTATTGGCACAAGAATGCAGTATAAAACAACATTTTTGTTTCTTTTGCTCTATCTCAGAATATCTTTTATTGGTCATTTAATTTCTTGTCTTTATTCTGTTTTAATAAAATTTGTTGTGTATTTCATCAAGAACAGGCTCCAGAAAGGCAGTAAGTATTATATGTGTTTCACATTGAAGAGCTACAGCCATTCCCACATTGAGGGTGAATATAACCAGCTGGTAGAAATTATGAAAACAGACTCAAATTTGACATAAGATAACATTACAGTCAAGAAAGTCAACATATGGCCATAGTAATTATGTAAGGAATCTACACATTTTAAGAAATTATGTTGATATGCAAAATTATAACATGAACATAGAGCATTAAGGTCTTGTTAGGTTGTTTGTGTGACTCCCTTATGACAGTGAACGAGAGACATTACCAAAATGTTCTGGTATCTGAAACTTCTTCATAATTGTGAAAATGTTATTTCGAATGTCATATCAGGCCTTTAGATCATAGTTTACACATCAGTAACTCCATGTTATTGGACATTTCTTGAGCAGTCAATACTCTTCACCTTGTCAAGAAATTCCTTGCTTTTATGAAACCTGAAGGTTCATCACTGTGTTCACTGAAACATGCAGTTGGATCCTGTCCTGTACCATTTGAATCCTGTTTATGTCTTCATTAACTTGTATTTTAGCACTAATTTTACAGTGATTTGTCGTTATCTTAGTCTCCAAAGTGCTCTCTTCAATTGAGTTTTCCTGTTGTAACCATCTGTGCATTATAGCTTTCCCCTAGACATAATACTGTACATGTCCTCCCTATCTATATTTGCTTCTAATTTAATCTGCTGAGAACTTCTTTCTATACCTTATACCCTAATTCTTAACTTAACTTTATTTTTCGTCCATAACTGAAGTTAATAGAATTGGTCATGTCAAAAAATAGCAGCGAATACATCATATGTCAAAGTCACATAAAAATTACACAGTGATCTATCACAATAATATAACAACCGTTATAAGGTACATAACAATAAAAGATGCGTAAGACCAAAAGAATAATAACAGTAATATAAAACACGTAAACACAGTATTAAAAATTGCAAACCAAACAATCAACAAACTTGTCATCACTCCAACATTAGTTGAAAACTTTTGAAGAGAATGGAAACCTATTAAATGCCTGGCAGGTTAAAATTATCTCAGAAGTGCTGTCATATGTGTAAGGTAGCATTTTGGTCTTTCATTGTGCTCACCTGGTAAAATGAATTACCATTATGTTGAGATTTAGAACTGTTAAGCATGATGTAATGCTTACTTTTTATGTACAATCTCTTATTTGACCATTATAGTGTGAATTCTTATTGGTGAAGCATTGAATCTTGAGGCAGAATATTAAAGGTCCATATTAGGCATGTTATTTATAATGTTACCAGATTTTATGAAGTGGTTAAGAAAGATATTCTTACAGTTCCTGTAAGCAAAGCAATTTTAAATTCAATTCGTATCCCTGATGTTAAAAACTATGTGCTTCTGTGTTTCATATGAAATGGACTGTACCTATTTTATTTTCTCTGCTCCTCAAGACATCCAGTCATTCTAGGTCAGTTCAGTGCTTTTACAAATTATATGCAATAGATTAATCACCCAGATGTTGGGCAAAGAATGAATCCCTTTATGTACCTCTTTCCTGGTTCTTGTTACTTCATTTTCAAACACTCTCAGTCTCCTTTGTTCTCTCAGAGTGGAGGCCAAGTTTCACACCTTTATAGGAAGGCAGAATTGAGGTGTTATGTATCTGAATCCCTGGATTTGTAGAAAATAGACCGGAGGGTATAAGATTGTGAATGATCTGTTTCAGTAATGCTGCTCCCAAACATTGAACCAAGTATGGTCCCACCTGGAGTGCAGCCCCTGCTGGTGTTTGTGAATGTTAAGTCTGGAGGGTGCCAAGGCTCGGAACTAATTTCCAGCTTTCGAAAACTGCTCAACCCATATCAAGTATTTGACCTTGACAATGGTGGGCCTCTCCCTGGGTGAGTAAAAATTAAAAATGTCACTCTGTTATGATGAACTGTTATTAGTACCGATGGTGGTGTATTTGACATTTAATTTAGGGGATATTTAGAAGAATCAGTTGAAAAGAATTTCATTTTATTGCATGAATTTGGCACACAGTCTCTTAGGCACAGAAAACTCTCCTATACAGGGTGTCCCAGGAGGAATGTGCCAGACTTCGGGAGGGCGTTCCTTGTGTTAAAGTATGCTGATAAAACCCAAAACACCTATGTCCAAAGTTGAATGGTTACAGAGATAATGGCCCAAGAAAAGTGTGGTCTTCTGGCGGGTCCACGCACTGTACCTGTCAGCTGACAAGTCTTATCTATGTTTGTCCTTGAGTGTGGTGATTCACACTAGCCATAAGCTTATGTGCTACCTTCAGGGTACGTTGCGGCCGCATTGTGAATGGTTGGTAAATTAGTTGTGCGGAGTTGCTGAAATGCCTTTTGTGTTTTCACACGTGGAATATTGCGATATGCGTTTTATGTATGGATTTTGCGGTGGCAAGGCACGTGCTGCTGTTGAAGAATACCAAACGTGTTTTCCCGATCGAAGGATTCCATCTCGAAGTGTATTTACGTGAATTCACCAGACATTGTGTGATACTGGTTCTCTTCCAAGTGTTTCTGTGCACTCTGAAAGGGAGGATGTACGAATGAGAAACACACAAGAGAACATTCTTGAGATGGTTCAGAGAAGTCTGCGTCTGTCCACTCGTAGAATGGCGTCTCGCATCGGCATATCATGTATGCAGGTGTGGCAAACTTTGCATGATGAAGAGTTGTATCCTTACCATGATCAAAGGGTACAACATCTGGAACCAGGCAACCATGCTCAGCTTATGGATTTGTGTGACTGGATAAAAGCTCATCCCAAACTGTTGAGCATCATTTAATTCAGTGATGAGGCGTCTTTTACCCGGGACGGTGTAAATAATTTACGAAATGTGCATGCGTGCTCCCATAACAATCCACATGAGATAATGGTAACGAAATTCCAAAAGAGATTTTCTGTGAATGTATGGTGTGGTGTGCTTGGGAACAGGTTGATCGGACCTTTTGTGTTTCACAACAATTTAATTGGAAAGACGTATGAAGCCTTCCTGAAGAATGAGTTACCACGTTTGTTGGAAGACATCCCATTAACGATAAGGAGCCAAATGTACTTCCAACGTGATGGGGCTCACCCACATTACGCTCAGCATGTGAGACACTACTTAGATGAATCCTTGCCTAACCGCTGGTTAGGTCGTGGTGGTCCCGTTGCATGGCATGTTATGTCAGTGCTTGCCATTCATGTGTCATGTATAGTGCTTGGAAACCTAAGGACAACTATGACATGGCGTGTGAGTTTTTCTAGTTCAACTTAATGGCTTCATGTCACTCACAAGTTAGTTTGATGTTACGTACATTATTAACATTACAGAAACCACATATTCCTGCCAGTTTTAATATGTATTTGGTAATCAACAAGTGTGTAACACCTCTCAAAGTTTCACACTTCTCTGGCCATTATCTCTGTAACCGTTCAACTTTGGACATAAGTGTTTTGGGTTATATAGGCATACTTTAACATAAGGAACACCCTCCCAAAGTCTGGCATATTCCTCCTGGAACACTCTGTATATGTTAATAAAATTCTACACAGCAACCTTGCTACTAGATTCTAAAGGGATCTGACGATGGTGGTTGACACACAGAATTACTGGATTTTTGGAGTTTTTCCATCATCCAAAATTCTAGGTAATAGAGGACAGAATGTTTTGGAAACTGGATCTGTTTCTGTCTTCAGGTGAGAAAGGAAGACACTTACTCAGTTGGGTCCCTTAGAAAGAGTCCCATGATTGAGATTAGCTTTTTCTAAGAGGCCCAACTGAGTAGGTGTCTTCCTTTCTTACCCGAAGATGGAAACAGATCCACTTTATGAAATGTAGTGTCCTCTATTACCTAGAATTCTGGATGATGGAAAAAGTCCAAAATCCCAGTAATTCTGTGAGCCTTGCTATTGCTGTATAGTCTGTGGTTCAAGCTTCCAGTTGCTAATCTGTTTATTTGACAGCAACATTCATTAGTGCAGAACAAACTTTGGTAGAAACAATGATTTTTCACTTTGTGTTGTTAACTACTGACCTTTAGAGTCCTCATTGCATCAGTTGCTAGAGTTTAGGTTTCATGTTCAACTTTTTATGCTGTGCTTGCTTCTCTCTCATGTGAGTACTGATAAGCTGAACCAGAGATAATAAATTTGTTCTTTTAACATCCTCTGGTTCAAGTACCATGAACATAGTATCATTGTTCTTGTAATCATGAGTATTAAGCAGATTTAATCATATCATTTTGAACATTTCCAGGCTGTACGTGTTCCGCCACATTAAAGATTATAAAATTCTGGTGTGTGGAGGAGATGGCACTATTGGTTGGGTTCTCCAGTGTCTAGACAATGTGGGACAGGACAGTGAATGTTCCTCTCCAGCATGTGCCATAGTCCCACTTGGAACAGGTATCAAGAATCTCTTATATTTTTCTTTCACTGGCTCTACAGCCCTCTTGGGCTGTGGACTCTGATTTTCAGTTTATGATTATTATACAGATGATAGGACTCCTTGAACGATTGTTGAGCTTGTCGCAAGGCCTCTACCTAAACAAAAGAGAACACAAACACAGAATAAACACATACACATACTGAACATCCATGCCTTATGTGGGATTCGAACCCATATTCCCAGCTTCTGATCGAGTGAAGACAGTACATGCCTTAGACCGCTTGGCTACCGTGACCAACCAAGAGTCTCTTATGGGTGATAAAAAATGTTATGTTATTAGCAATAAAATAAATATACAAGTACAGTAGAATTAACATTGAAGTATTTTTGGAGGAAGCTTTTAATTTGAACGTTAAACTGACAAAAGTCATAATTAAAGGAAATTTAACATTGAATTATCGACTTGGAATCAGTAAAATTGAATGTTAGATGAAAAAGAGTTGTAAATTGAGGAACATAAAATGGGAATTTTTCCCCACATAATTGTATACACAAATGTATAAATTCATTCCTTGTATCACATCTGCAGAAATAGAGGACACTTCCCTGCCGTACAAGAAAGGAAAGTTGTAATGAGATAGAATAGACATATTTTTCAAATGTATTTGCTATTTTGCATACATCATTGTTACTGATGTTCATTTATGGCAGGCATGAACCAACAATTTCTCAGCTACTTACACTGTACAGAGTCATTTGTCTGTATTTTGTTAAATGTTTGCAATATCAGAAAATATTTCAGATAGAAGTTGTAGATTGGAGTGAGCTCTATATTTTATGTCATGTACAAGATTCATGTACTCTAAGCATTTGTGAGAAAATTAGTAAAGTTCAGTATGAGCTTTATGTAAAATAGCAATTGCACTGTTTCAATACAAATTAAAATTAAATTTGTATGAAAGTGTTTAGTGTATATTCAAATGGCAGATTTTATCAGAATCATTTCAGTAGTTTTGTAAATGGATCTTGCAGACAGTGGTAGGATATTACCTCTCCTTCATGTGTTAACAGTGTGCACTCTGGCAGAACACCCAGAAAAATAAGTGTCATTATTATTATTATTATTTATTCAGCATTCCATAAATCCTTACATGGTTTTTTCAAAACACCACGGATATAGAAGTAGTCAACATGAGAATAGAACAATTTCAGAATTCCAAGGGAGTACTGCATATGTACCACACTTGCAGTTACTAGCTGTATTTTTGGCATGTCACCATATAAACATGAGGGCTGTTTGGAAATTAACCTCTGTTTATTTCGGGCAACTAATATAGGAGCAGTGGATAGCTCATGCATGTGGGGTAGTGTTGCATGACTCATTGCCTTGTAAACCATCACATAACTGGTCACCTAGTGTTTTTTCTTATCTTTATGGAGCGAGTTATGATGTGTCCCACAATTGATAATCCCACTACCTAAAAAATTCGCCCTGTTATCCACTTTCTTCATGCTAAAAGCATGAGTGTTTTATAAATCAATCGTGAATTATGTGTGGTTTACAGCAGAAATGTAATGAGTGAAAAAACCCTGTGACAATGGTGTGGAATGTTCAAAGATGGGTGAACAAATGTTCATGATAAAGAGCAAAGTGGTCGGCCATCTGTACTGAGTGATGGTCTTGTTCTGAGTGTTGACCAAAAAATTTGTGAAAGATGACACTTCACAATTTCAGAATCTTCATATGAATTCCCATAAATTTCACATACTGTTCTCATTGCGATTGTCACAGTTAGGCTATGCTGTCACAAGTTTCGTGCAAGATAGGTTTTGAAAATGCTCATGGGTGCGCACAAAATGCAGAGAATGGCTTCAGCTTTGACTTTTTTTAGAGTGATACGACAAAGATGGTGATGAATATCTCAGTTACATTGTATGAGTAATAGGTGATAGACCTGGGTCTCATTGTGAATGTTGAAGCCAAAGAACAGTCAAATCGTTGGAAACACATGCACATTCACTAGACAGGCTGAAAAAGTTTAAACAAACATTTTCTGCCAGAAAGCTGATGGCAGCTGTTTTCTGAGAGAGGGAAGGAGTGCTGATGGTGGAATTCATGCAACAAGGTACCACAATAATGTCAGAAGTGTATTGTGAAACACTAAAAAACTGCATAGGACCATTCAGAATGAGAGGTGTGGATTGCTGACAAGTGGTTTAGTGCACCTCAATGAGAATGCATGCCTGCATACAGCTGCCCACACTCAAGCTCCTCTGGAACATTTCAATTGGAAGTTGTTTGTCCACCCATCTTACAGCACTCATCTCACTTCATGTGAGTACCACCTGTTCACCTACCCGAAGAACTTGTCAGGAACACAGCACTTCAGCAGTAATGAGTAGTTGATGGAAGGTGTCAAAATATGGCAGAGCTCACAGGTGGTAGACTTCTTTGACACGGACACACAACAACTTATTCCCTGATATGATAAGTGCCCCAGTTCTGGCAGTGAATATGTTGAGAATTAGCTTAAGTATGTACATATTTTTTGTACATAATAAAATTTTTCCCCTCGTTGCTTGTTTTGTTCACAGCCCACTTTCTGAATAGCCCTCATAAAATGTCACCATTTACAATTGTTTATCTGATATCATCATACAAAAATATTTTGCACAATCACAATGTTAGCTTCCTTTTAGCTACTAAATAAATATTACCTTATTAAAAATGCTTACTCTTCTGATCTGTTGTGACTGCTACATTTGAAGTATTTTAAAAAGGAGCCAGTAGTGCTTGTGTTACCTAAATAACTAACAGTTCTTCCATCAACACACAGTGCTGCAGTCTTTCATTATTCTCATGTGCATATCAGTTTTCTGCGAACCATCAGCGTGAGATAATGTCTGCATATTCATTGCACTTGTATGCTTGTGGAAAGGGAACAAACAGTATGCAGGAATCAGTATCATGCCATAGTGTTGATGTATTGGTGGTGCAGTTTGAAGTGCAAAGAGATCCTAGATATCAGGAGGGCTGATTAATGCCTTATGATATGGACAGTTGGTTACAGGTGCCACACAGCTCAAGTTGGCTCAAGCAGTCAGTTTTGATTTATGTTAGGAAGGTACATAGTTTGAATATTAGCCAGGACACTGATTATCTTGGTTTTTTTTTTTGTGTGTTTTTCCCAAGTTTTTCCAGACAAATGCCAGGATAGTATATCCCTTTCAGTTTATTATTCACTAATCATTTAGTGTTTGACACTAAACAACTTGAGCTCCTTACAACATGAACAAATAAACCATAAATAAATAACACAAGATGAGTGCAAACTAGTGTTATAACTTTCAGAGGATGTTTAAATTGTTGTGTATAGTCAGACACCATAGACATTAAGTTCTGCTGGTCACCAACAATATTCCAGTATTGCTTCCAGTCATGATACAGCCAGCAGCCCTTTCACTTTAGCATTGTAATATCGAGGCATATTGCCCTACTGAAAGATTGAATTTCCTTGTGGATTGTCATCTTTAATTTGCAGAATTGGAAAAATTTGGAACATGTTAAGGTGCACAGTTCCAATGTCAGTTTTTCACAAGAAAATGACTCTCTAAATGCTCAGATCAATCATTTAATCAGCAGACTGGTCAAAGCATACCAAGTGCCTGGTATCCTTGTTTACCAAATTTGATACTAATGGATTTCTGTTTTATGAGGAACTTTTAAAGAAAGAATATTTTAGTGATCATTGTAACAGATGTTAACAAATCAAAGAGCAAGACTACTGTAGGTCAAAATGTTAATCATGTATTATAAATGATTGATTATGAGTGGGATTTGTGTTGGCAGCTGTGTTGCGATGTTGTACTTACTCAAGATTAATACATCTGGCTATACTGTAGTGGTATGTGACTATACATGAACTCATTTTAAACATTTCTGTGTTAAGGTGTTTAACAAATTAATAAATTTTTAATATGCATAACAGATTTTCACTACAACAGAAAACATGCTTGGCTGTGTGTATTTGTTTCCAGCCCTGCCTACACCCCTTCCAAGACCTTGTGTGCTGGTCATTTTCTTTATCCTGTGTATTGTACTCTGACCCATTGACCATTTTTGTGACTTCATCTTAAAATATCTTGTGCTCAGCCATGAATTCCAAGTGCTCATTCATTATAATAAAGCAGTTACGTACATGCACTAGACGTTTGCTTTAATCTATCTATGTATATGTTATCTCAGATCTCTGTAACTGTTGTCCTGTCCTTTAAATTAATGTGAAATTCTGTTTCATTTAGTGTATTTTTGCTTAGGAAGCTAAATTAAAGGAATGCATATTCTTGGTAAAACATGGAGCTAGTGTATATTATAATGTTACATTTTCCAATGCTTTAAAAATTATAAAGCTGCTTTGTGCTTACACTGTATATCAGCTTCAAACTGAAATGAGTGATGGTTAATTTTGAAGGACATGCAAGACAGTTGAAATTTATACATGGAAAGAAAATATTTTTAAGAATGTGTGACCTGAGCGCATTGTTGTCGCACTCTTATCACTATTTACACTAGTTCAAATGGCTTGAGTCTCTTGAGCCTTCTCACTGTCCTCTCATTGTCCAAAAGCTGTATCGCTTCCACATTGGTGTGATGATGATGCCGATCTTCATGCTTCTTGGCTATCTTTTTAATTTTGGCAGTGACCATCCTAATGCCAAGATCCTTGTGGATGTCACTATTATGGTCATACCAAGGGGCATTTACTATTCTCCTCAGCACTTTCTTCTGAAATCTCTGTATTCTTTAAATGCTACTCTTACTAGCACAACCCCACAGCTGCAAGACATCAGATGCTGGAACAACCGGTGGACATAGTCTCAGAGTTTATTTCTAGTAGCAGTAGTAGTAGTAGTTTAAGTGAGAATAAAAATGCTCATTAGTCCCAGACTAGTTGCAGTGTTAGGACATTAAGAAAAAAAATAATGTGTGATATTACAGGAAATGATCTGGCACGTGTGTTACGATGGGGGCCAGGTTATACAGGAGGTGAAGACCCACTGAATCTTCTGCGGGATGTAATTGATGCTGAGGAAATTCGTCTGGATCGCTGGACTGTTGTATTTCATCCAGAAGACAAAGCTGATGACAAAGGGCAACAACCTCTCAATCCATCAGGTCAGTGGCTTGATGCTGAGGTGTTGATTAACTATTTCACTGCATATTATTTTCCTAAAATAATGCAATTTTAAGGCAAAACTATGATAAAAGCAACAGAAATGCATTTTCGTAGCCTAGAGAATGAAGTTCAATGACACTGAAAGGAGGTGATTATTTCGTGGTGTGGACTGAAGTCAAATATGATATTGGATACTTGTTTGACTTTAGTTTAATATTACAGCAATGGGGTTAATTCATAGGTTAAGCAAGATTTGGCGTTCTTATATCAGTGACTATGAAGACTGCTGACTCTGTCATGTGATGCCATGTAGTCTGGTAGAACATTACATGCATTGCAAAGAAACCTGCCCCAATCCATAAATTTTTGGTCATTATGGCAGGAGTTAGCCATTGGATTCTGCTCTGGGTAATTCAATTCAGTCCACATTTTCTAAGATGCATTAGAAGATTATCCTGTCATCTACAGCCAAATCTCCTAACTGATCTCTTCCAGGTAACATTCTGTACACATTCCTTGTTTCTCCATGTGCGGTGTGCCCTGCTCTCATGTCCTTAATTTAATGGCATGAATAATGTTATGTAAAACTAATTAATGATTAGAAACATGTAAATAGTCAAAATTGTTAGTTCGGTTTGATCAGAATTTGTATTTAAAATTTGAACATTAGCATCTATTTGTTTCTGTACAATTGGATTTACAAAGAAACTTCACTGTAATTACAGCCCTAAAATGTGGCTGTAATGATCTTGGGGAACTTTGTCTCCATAAAAAACAAAGTGTTTTGATGATCTGTAGAGCACAACCTGAAGTGATAATGCTGTTTCCTTCTGTTTTCAGCTGGTTCTACAAGTGAAGATAACACACAGATCTTTGTAATGAATAATTACTTTGGAATTGGAATTGATGCGGATCTATGTTTGGACTTCCACAATGCCAGAGAGGAGAACCCCAACAAGTTCAATAGCAGGTAAAAACCATCATATATGTTGTTGCCAAATGTCTGAGAAATTGTTGATGCCAGATCCTAGAAGTAGGGCTGTACACAGTTCATATTTCTTATTTCATCTTCCATTGTGCACTTTTCTATGTAAAAGTGGAAATTCTCTGTTCTACCTTTGATTTGAAAAGTTTCTTGCAGTCTCTTTAACCATCTGAATTCCGTGTACCAAGTAGATTGGCTCAGCCATCAATTAGTGCAGCATTTCTATCAATAGGTAACATGAAATCTGACATATTGATGTTTAGAGGAAAGAAGAGGTTTTCACATTATCTACCATTTCTGCCATTTGAATAACTACCAGGAGTTTTTCTGTGAAGCAGAAAACCAGGACAAGCAGCCATGGCATTTCTAGCAGGTAGTTCTGTTGTAGGTTATTGGTAGTCGCAGAGTTAAAAAAATTAGGTTTCTTCACACTTCCACAAACTCACTATACATTACCACATTTTGTCCACAACATATCATCTACTTCATTACTATGATTGACATCACTTCTTCTTCTTCTGTGGTGCAACAGCCCGATGTCAGGCCTTGGCCTCCCTTACCAAGCCCCTCCATTCCTCTCTGCCCTGCGCTGCTCTCTTCCAGTTCCTTACACCCATTCACTTCTTTGCATCTTCCACCACCTCAATCCGTCTAGTTCTTGGTTTCCCAGCGTGTCTCCTACCACCTATTGTACTATATAAAATTTTCTTTGCGATACACTCCTTATCCATTCTCTGTACATGCCCAGCCCATTGCAGTCTTGTAGCTTTATCGTCACTGAGATCTCTGGCTCCTTATATAATGTGTATAACTCTTTATTATATCTTATTCTCCATATCCCATTCTCTTTTATTGGTCCATAAATTCGTCTTAGGATTTTCCTCTCAAGTGAATTGATGACTGATTCCTCTTTCTTGTTTAGCGTCCAACCCTCACATCCATAATAAAGCACCGGTCTTATCATTGTTTTATATATTTTTGTTTTAATCGCTTGGTGTATATCCTTTGATCTAAAAACTGATAGTAACAAGAAATATGCATTATTCGCTAGCTTTATTCTTCTTGTTATTTCATGAGTTTCCTCTCCATCTTTGTGGAATTTCAATCCTAAATATATGAAGTCCTCAACTATTTTTATCCCATCCCCTTCCATGTTAATTTCTCCAGTTTGCCTTGGATTCTTTCTAGATTGTATCAGCATTTTAGTTTTATTTACATTCACCTCTAAGCCAGTTGTTTTTGCTATGGTTTTTATTTCTTTATCTGTCTCCTTCATTGCTCTTAGGGATCTTGATACTATAATAATATTATCTGCATACACCATTATTTGCCTTTGTTTATATGCTATTGTGTTCCATGATTGTCATCACATAGCTCCAGATTTGTACGAGTTTCACAGACTTTTTTTGGTAGTAAAATTTTCCTGTTTGCTTTGGTTTGGCAGCAGAAAGTGTATGTAACCTGGCTGGAATGGACATAATTCCGTGTGTAGGTAAATGCACTTATTTAATGATGTGAACTCTAGAAGATAAGTCCTTGTATTTGAGAAGGTTATTTCTATCCACTACTTCATTCTGTGCACACATAGCAGTTTGGGGAAATTAGTTCATTCCAATTTTATGTAAATGCTACTGTGAGAGTTTCAGAGGTTTGTCAAAGTGGATTGTGCACTTGCATTATTGTGCATGAAAGAAATGTTTCCCCATTAAGTGACAGTATTTCTGACCATTAAACAATATCCACATGAACTCTATGATAGTCTATTCCATAGTGTAGGCAGTCACTTGCTTCACACTGTGGAGGCCCAGGGCAGTTTGTGTGGCATTTGTGGTAGATAAATTGGCATTGTGGCATTTTTTTCTTTGATTATTTTGGTTTTCCCTTGCCAGTTATCACTTCACCAATGTGACGTTTCCTCATTTATCATCTGAGACTTGTAACTGTAGTTCCATTTGAGGCTGCAGTATCAAGTCATCATGTCTTGCCCCCACCCCAAGAACAGAAAGAAAACTTTTGTTAAGTTATCATAGTATATTTTTTCACCCATTGTCCATTGTCTGGTTGAAAAAGATGTGCAGTGGTTGAGAGGCATAATCTGTTTCCATTGTCAGGTAAAAGGAAAGCTTAGTAATAATAGTTTGTTCTAATTTGTCCCACAGGGATGAGTTAATAAGTCCCTGGGCAGAAATCTTGCACATTCTTTACCAAGGCAAAGGGCACTGTTGAAAGAAAATATTTCTATGATAATACCAAATCACTGTCAGAAAACTTTAGAATTAAGTTTGTGGAGTACACTCAACTCTTGATTATCCGGGTGCGGATAAACCGGTTTGCGGCTTAATCGGGGCTTTTCTGAGGCTTATATGTTGTTTAATATTCATTCACTTTTGTTTCACATGGTGAGCTGTAACACTATTTTCACACTAATATGAACCGAGCTCTGCAGTTTTGGTCCCGTTATGCTAACACAATGTTCTAGGGTAGGGGTGAAAGAATGCAAGGATTTGTGGAAAGTTTCAAGGACAGATACACCGCCCCAATTAGTCTCTTTGTATCGATCTTCAAGTGCATTAGCAAAATGTCAGGGTGTAAAAGGAAGAATTGGCTAACCAAGTTCATGGTGGTGAAGAAGTCAACGAGGAAAACATAAGAGAGTGGTTTGACTGTGACTCGTGTGAGCCAGGCTTTGAAATGTTAAGCAATGACGAAATCGTAAGTTCAGTGGGGGTGCAGCCAGAAGAGCATGAAGAAAGTGAGAATGAGGAAGAGGTGGACAGTGCTGCTAGTAAGAAAATATCACATGGTGCTGCTCTTAATCATTTGGAATCCTTACTAGACTATCTTGAGAGTGAAGAGAACAGTTTATTAAGTGACAAGCTAATATTACATAGGCTTCATACGGATATTCGTAAAAAGGAAAATGCCGCGCAAAAGCAAACAACAGTATTAAATTTTTTTAAGTGTTAAGTGTGAATATTCGTAAAAAGTGTTGGATGTTGTTGAACACTGTGATTGAAATAACTAATTCATACTTCAGTGTAATGTAAAAAAAGTATTAAATAGGCCATGAGATGACATAAAAATGAGGTTGAATAAATTTAAATACAGGTAGGCCTATAGTATTATGAAGGTACAGTATTACAGTACTACTTTTAATAAAATTTGTCTTAGCCGGGTTTTCGATTAATCTTGAATTCCATCCCCACCATTATCCCGGATAATCGAGAGTTGAGTGTATTTAAATTAAAATTGGCTGAATGAATTTCCATTTACATACCATGCTTTTTTTTAAGAATATCTTTCCTGGTAATATCTTTGCCATTTTGTAGACTCAGTTTTAAGATTGTAAGCTGGTTGGATTTGGAAACGCCGGTAACCACATACCAGACTACATGGTGTTATAGCCCGAAAGACCATTAAATTGTAAGGATCATATTTTGAAACTTTTCAGATATTTGGAATGTATTCTTTTAAAAATAATTAGATCTGTGGGGATTTGTCATTACTCCAATGACAACCCACTTCTTCAGAAAGTTTGTAGGTCCTGAAAAGGACTGTTGGCTGCTGGGATGTTTGGCCGGTGAAGTAGTGCGGCGCGCGCCGGTAGAAATGAAATGTCGGTTGCGGTGTGTTGAGGCGGCTGAGTCAGTTGATACTGGCCGCAGTGCGGCCATTGCTGGAGTTTGCTTGATCGCAGTGCGGCAGTTGCTGGAAGACGTCTGCTTGCGGAGCACGGTTGCTGGAGTGGCGGCAGCTGCGCCAGTTGCCCAGTGAGTCAGGCATGACCGCTGGCGAGTCCAGGCAGCCGAGTTACCCAGTGAGTCGGGTGTGACTGCTGGACAGCCGAGGCAGTCGTGCCTGGCGCAGCAAAGTGCCGATGCCTCCGAAGACCAATCGCTCGGTGCGAAGTGTGATAGCTGGCTTGCTGATGTGGTCTCTGACTGACTGATATGGAACTGACTGACTTGTGAGCGTTGTGCTCCGCCTTTTATACAATGCTTGGTGGAGGAGCAAAAATTTTCTGAGCGCTGATTGGCTAGCGTGTTATGATCTAAATGTGAGCTGGACATGGAATGTTGTTTAAATACGAGTGCTGCCAGCAATGTGATTGGCTAGCGTGTGATGGTGAAAAGTGAGTGCTGTAGAAATAGCGTGATATGTGGGATGTTCCCACAGATCATTTAAATTATCTTCTTGTTTTGACCGACAGGCATTTTAATGCTTGTTCTAACCTCAGATTTGTACACAGCATCACTATGGTCTTCACCTCCTATTATCATCTAAGTTCCTATCCTATGCTGTTTTCATCCGTCTGTCCAGTAACTTCGTGCGTATATGTCAGCTTCGTTACATAGATGGCAGTATCATCAGCTGTCTCCAGAAATACTTCTTCCATTTCCATTGGTACTAGATAATGCTTAAAATTAAATAAAAGTCAGTGCAGAAACATTGCACAGTCAACCTTGTTTATTTTGCCTTGTACACAGAATTCATTATTGCTTTGTAGACCTTTGTTGGTTGCTGAATACCAAACAGCAATTAAACAGACATTTTGTGTTTGGGCCCCAAGTGCGCATATGCTTTTTTTCCCTGAATTTATGACCAGTACAGCTTTGTTTAAGAGTTGGTCTCCATAAATTGCTGAAATTTGATCTACATTATTAGGGGCATTTTTGAGAAAATTGTTTGTGGCCCATTTTTGGTCCCTTGTGCTAGAATGTTATTTTTATCAGGCATCAAGCTATGAATACTGAAGCACGTGCCCGCACACACACGCACACACACACACACACACACACACACACACAAAGACATGCTCTCATATACATCAAATGGGCATACCAAAAACCACTAATTCTTTTCTTTATTTGAGGTATCTCAAATGTGTAAATCCTTCAGAATCTCAAGTTTGATTTTTGTCACCATCACAGTGCTTTTGCATATGTACCAAATATAAGAGAACGTAAGAAATCTTCTCGATGTAAAGATACACATCCTGTTACAGGTTACATAATAAGGGTGTCTACGTGAAGATGGGTCTGCGTAAGATGGTAGGACGCAAACTGTGCAAGGACCTGCACAAGGAGATTCGTCTTGAAGTGGATGGGAAATTAGTGGAATTGCCACAAGTTGAAGGAATCATCATTCTCAACATCCTCAGGTAGGCAGTCAGTGTTCTGACTGAAACCATAATCTAGCATAGACATGGTCTTGATTGATTTCACATATGGATGAAACTTGAGTACTTCTGGGAAGAGCCATTATGAATTAAGTAAGTAAATTAAGTAAAAAAAGTAAAGGTGTCCCTGTAACAGGCCTTGGAGGCCCATAAGGTTGTGAGGTGTTGAGGTTCCCACATTTTCTAGACAATCGGCTCACAGATGGCTGGAAGGTTGTCAGCCCTACGTGGCAGCCACCTTTCACCCCCAAGAATATTCCTGGTACTCATTTCTGTTAGAGGCTGAGTCAAACCCAGGACCATAGTGCGGCTGGAAGAATTAGGTCAATTGAAAAAATTCAATGACCTCATTGGGACTTGAACCCACGACCTTCCGCCTTATAGCATAGTGCTTCAACCAACTATTCTACTGCATGCCTCCATTATGAATTAAGTAAATTTAAATATTTCATGGCCTGATGCTTGATTAATTAAGCACAGGGACAAATTTACCTTTTTTAAAATACATATATTCATGCTTGCCATAGTGCGTAGGAAGTACAGCATTGTAGGCCGAATGAATGTTGGAATTATAGCAACAACAACAGTAGATCCCTGATTGTGTATGTTGGTATTTAAAATGAATCTCAGACATCCAATACACTATGATACATTATAGTTAGTTAGTTAGTTATTTAGAGAGGGTGGGTTTCCCCATGCACTGCGACCAGTTTGATCTATTGTGCTTCCCTCTATGATATTCTACCAGTCTCTATACCCTACCAATAAATGGTGCGTACCATCAGTCCTGCCAAGCAAGCGAGTTCGGCCACTTGCTTAGCGGTGTCTATAATGCTTCCCCCATCTATCAGAGGCCTTAGAGACTATTGTTGTGCGGGAAATGTCCTGGAATTTGGCGCAGTGATCCCCTTTGGGGATATGAGGTTCTTTTACGTGCCGTGAAGTTACGACACGGGACACACAGCTTAAAGTCCCTCCCAGAGGACTTGTTCCCTGAATTTTTCCGCCCCTAAAAATTCGACGACCTCCGCCGGGTATTTGAACCCGCGTACTACGAGTCATGAGGTGGGAACGTTACCTCTAGACTATGGAGGCCGCTTAGATACATTATAACTGTAGGTCATGCATAATGTGAGACAGGATATTCATCTATTTTGGCTAGAACATCTCTCAGGGGAATAGATCAAAGGTAAGACATTGTAGAGAGCATAATATTCAAGCATACCTCGAAGAAGTAGGTTTGAATATGTGAATGCAATGAACTGACTCCGGATAGGGTCCAGTAGAGGTTTTTGTGAAATTAGTAATTTATCTTCAGGTACATTAAAATTGGGAAATCTCATAGTGATTTGAATGACTGTCTTCTCAGAAGACTATGTGACATGGAGGTAATTATTTAAAAAATGAGAGTATTGTATTTACTTATTTCAGCTGGGGTTCTGGGGCCAACCCTTGGGGTCCAGAGAAAGAAGATCAGTTTTCAAAGCCCAATCACTGGGATGGCATGCTTGAAGTGGTTGGTGTTACTGGCGTGGTACATCTCGGTCAGATCCAATCAGGCTTTCGTTCAGCCTTGAGAATCGCTCAGGTGAGGGTGGCGCAGTCTCATATTTTGAATCAGACTGACTGCAGCATTCTCTGTTCTTTACATACAGTGCTTGTGTATTTTCACAGGGTGGCCACATAAAGATCCACCTGAATTCTGACATCCCAGTGCAGGTGGATGGAGAACCCTGGGTTCAGAGCCCAGGGGATGTCGTCGTTCTTAAATCAGCTCTCAAGGTAAAGAACTGACACACTGGAGCATATTTATAACATAATATACATAATTTCAAAATCACATATCATTGTTCTATAAATGCAATAGAAGTTTTACTTTCTCAAACATAAGTTTAATATTAGTTTGAAATATGAAATACTTAGGTTGAATGGATTACCAGTAAGTGCTGATTGGTTTAGAATATGTTTCAGTGCTTCTCAGAGTCATCCTGCTGTGAATTTTGAGATTCGTTATAGTTCATGCTAGAATAGACAGCATCATAATTAACTGTAGTTTTGTAGAGCTAATTTATTTTTTCTCCTGTTGGCATTGCTGTTTTTCTTGCTCTGGTAATGCACCTATTCATTGTTAGCCTGTCTTGAACCTGGACCCTATCACTTAACATAAAAGTGCATGTCACACATCTTAGTCATAATTCCATCCATTCCTCCAAACATCAACTAATATTCCCCCATTCCTCTTGACTGCAGGCAACCATGCTGAAGAAAAATAAGATCAAGCGGCGTAACACTGAACCGTCCATCTTGCCAGCAAACGGGGAGGGGGGGAAGAGCAGTGATGACTGAATCCATTCCCTGCCCTTCCATAACATACTGGTGCAGACTGGGGGTTTGGAAATCACACTACCTCTGGTGTTTATTTCTCCTTCATGTGCCATCTTCCAAAAGGACACAATTCCTTTAACTACAAGCCTTCATATATGTGGACATGCGTGTGCATGTGACATTTGGTGTTGTTGAGGCGCAAGAGTGGCATGTGGTTTTTCTTTTGTGGTTAACCCCCAGGTTGCACCATACTGTTTTGTTAATTTTTCTTGTGTACTTAATGCACCCTGCCTGTGACCCTGATTTAGCTGCATCTATCCTTAGCATTTTAATCTTACTGCAGCTTCTTCAGTAGTTTCCTCAAACTTTTGTATATGTGAGGGTGAGATCCACTTTTTAAGTATTGACGTCAAATTCTTCTCTTTCCTTTGCACTGTTTTTTTTGCCCCTTCCAATGACCTCCCCCTCCCCGTAGGCCACTATGTTGAAGAAGATGAAGGGCAAGATGAAACGACGCAACACAGAGCCACTGATGCTGGTGTCACCAGGTGCTCAGTTTGTGCTGCCTCAAGATGCATCAGCTAACCATAACAACACTGTGTTCTGAAGAAGGAGATGCGTTGTGTTGCCTGCTTCTTGCCATCTGGTGGTGCCATGAAGAAAGATGAAAAGTTCTACAGTCAAATAAACATGGTGAATAATGGAAAATCAGCACACAAAACTATAACCAGCATGGTTATGTTGGTTCTGATTGTTGTGCAACAGTGCGACCTTTTGTTGTTCATTTAATTTTTCCTTGTGATTGCCAGTTTGTAGGTTAAGGTAGATCTCATTTTCTGTGCCCTCCCACCTCTCCTGAGGAAGTGCCGTGCCGAAAAATTTGGGTCCACCCCGCACGATAAAAGGAACCAAAAGTTGTTCCTTCTTGCAGTATTAACATGTCCAAGGGCCCAATGATGATGGTACGGCCATGTACAGTAACTAGTCACTCACAAATCCCAAGTGATGCGATGTGTGTGTTCTTTCTCAAAACTGGGCATGTGTTTTCACAACAGTCATGTGAGCGACTGCATGTACGCTTAAGTTTTGCATTTATGTTCTCTAGTAATGTATACTGTAATGATAACTATTACGTTAAAAGTATGGTATTTTACCAATGGACTTGAACAAGACAACAGGCTTTTTGCTGTTGTTCCTTGTTCGTGAACAGTGTAGGAAGCACAATGGAGCATAGAAAAAAGTTGTTACAATGTATTATTAAGTATAGATCTATTTTATTGTTGGTCATAGTATTGTTGTGGATCTGATTCTCAGATCTTAATGCGGTTTATACCGTAAATTTAGTCGGTAGAGAGTTGGATGACATGGTAGGCTGGTATCTGAGGTTCTCCTATAACCTTCAATTCTGAATGGTATTTCTCTTCCGACTTATGTCGGCATATTTCTAGTCATAAGAATCTTGCATGAAGGCAGGATTTCAGTCACATCTGGCCATTAAGGTGAACTCACAACGAAACAACCCCACCTGATGGGGCTCGTCTCAGTTTGAGAATGGACAGATCCTGTTGGATCGAAACTTGTTCGGCCTTATGATTACTACCACATATGTACTGGTGGCTTATAAGTAGCCACTCATACATTTAATACACTTTATTCTAAATGTGAAGTGTACATAAAGAATTCATGTATAACCTGATACTGACAAAATAAAGCTAGAACTTTGTCACTTTGAGTACAGAATAGTGACACTGTTCAGCTAAAGAAACATATTTCTATATGTAAAACATTCCACGAGGATAAATGAGCACATCTAATGAGACTGAAATTGGGCAACAAAAATATTACAACTGCCCAAAAGAGAGTAACCTCCCTGATGGCTCATACCATCTAAGGCAGACAGCTGTATGCTGTGCTCCCTTAGTTAAACATCGTTGGAATATCAATATTACAATCAGAATGTGACACCTATTAATCCACCCAGTTTCTCTGTGCACATGCTCTTGTAAGGGATACAGGGACATGAGGCATCTACTTAAGTCGTTCAGAGAATGTTTATTATCCAGTTGGTATTAAGTCTGAATTTGTGAGAAGTTATAAGGTGCAAGCAATAGTTTGAATTGTCAGCTCCAAGAAGTAGAAGAATATTACAAATCAAAATGGTTGTTTGAATCAAGTCAGGTAGTGAGTGGTTGTCATTATCCCAATTCTGGGAGGGACTACTTAGATACTTATTTTTGGAATCGAGAGTGCAAGTGATAGTCACTGAGAAATGTTCTGCTGGATGATAGTTGTAAAGCAGCTTGCATCCCTTGATAGCAAGTGCCAGGATCTGGCAGGACCAAGCACCGGCCGCTTTCGGCTGATGCCACTTTGGCGCTTGGTAGTCATGCGCTCACATCTAGTCAATACCCCATTCTGTAGACTCCCCTCATGCTGGATGTCAAACCATTCATGTCTGTTCTCTCATATTCATTTCCAGTTTTAAAGTGCTAAAAGAATACAAAATTCAATGGGAGTCTGGCTCCTGACCGGAAGTGGACTTCCAGTCTCCCAATTCCTAATCCGCCAGGTGTGTATGGGGCTCAGTTGTTCACGAGTTGCTATTCCGGGGCTCACCTCTTGAACATTACGCATGTTTGGCGGATTGGTGAAGCTGTGTGTTTACAATTTGACCAAGCATCGTGTTGCTGTTGCATTGCATTATACTAGCTAACGTTATATTAAACTATAATAAAACTCAATGTGCTATGTTTTCTGTCGTCATTATGTCCAACCGAAATGGTGGAAAGTCTCAAAAACAGTCGGGTATTGCATTGCGTAGACTCAGAATGAGACTTCTCAGTGTTATTGAGAACTTTTCACCACCAACTACATTTTGGACTATTCCCGGAACACTCGCGATATCACTGTGAACGGTGTTGGCGTCTTACACATTAATTCATCTTCCTGGAATGGTTCAAGCGATGGAAAGTATTTTAATGAGTCTATTGCAATAAGGTCATTCTACATACATGACATATATGTATATGATGTGATGATGGTAATATAGATTATATCATAACTTGTGAAAATAGAAAAATATTAAATGTAACTTCCGAAACCACACTATATTATTTTCCTTCAGGCCCCATCCTTTGTCATTCCTTGAACACAGAATCCATTTGAGAACAATGTAGTTTGATTGGCTGGTGGAAACAGAAAATATTAGAACTCTGCAAGTATTTAAAGTGATTTGTTTCCTGGATTTTCACAAGGACCCTGTGCACAATTGCCAGTTCCAGTGATTGCACCATCATCAGTTATCTGTCAGACTCCAGTTTTTGAGCTAAGTGCAGTAACTCTTTAACAAAAGATATTTCTCTTTTTGTTTCTAGTCTTTGTCTTGTCTTTGAACACATTGTCTTTTCCATCCCCCTCTCTCCAAGAGTTATATTGTGCTCCTGACATGGACATTCTCTAGAAATATGTTCCGATTTGTTTATGCATGCACCAGTTAGAAGACAGAATCCCCACTACTCAGTGGATGATAGGTAGCACAGTGATGTTTACATCTTGAAGATGAAGAATACTAATTTGTCCATAGTGGGCAAACTCACCCTTTGAAAAGCTCTCCTTATTTTTATCACAAACAGGTTGTTCATGGATAGTTTCTAACAAAAACCAAAATCCATGATATCTGTCTTGCATTTTCATATCGTTATGATTAAAAGAGTTTCTGTCCCTTCCCATGTCAAACATTTATGTTTGTCCTATACAACAAGGGTATCAACCTAAGAAAATGTTTAATTGTAGCTCGTGACGTATATGAGATGCGCACGTTTTTCATTCATTCTTTGCACAAAATGATTGTATAAGAAGCTGGTATGTATCTGTATGCGTGCTTTACTCCAAAACAAATGTCTGTGAGAGTTGTACTAACTAAAGTTCTCAAGCAAATTTGTTTTGAGTCCATATCAGTCAATATAACAATTATGTACATAAAGCTAATATGAACTTCATATATTTTCCGAAAAACAGTTCATGCTTGCGTGTGACGCAAAATATGGATCTCATTGATGTTTACGTCTTTTACTTAATATACAGTATTACAGTTTGTACAGTTTTGGTACATTGTACCAATAATTTGGTGTGAAGTAATGCCGTAGTCGTGTTTATTATTTGGCTCCATGACGACGAACTCAAGTAATTAATATAACACAATAAAATGTCATACAGTATTTCTCGTGGATTTGGGAGATGCTTGGCTCGAATCTTGGCCAGGACACCGGATATCATCCTGAAGATGGTGGCAGCCATGACATCAGAATGCACGGTTTTTCATGCCAGAAGACAGAATTATTACGTACATGTTAAGACGTGTGTATTGGACCAAACTTACGAAATTAGTAACCATATATAAACCCCTAGGAGGAGGATTGGAATGACCAAGAAATTATGAAATCAAGAAGTAATAGGTTGTTAAGGGTTATGAACAAACAATTTTAATCCTTGTACAGCGTTATACACTCTTTGCTTTAAACTGCTCCACAACGACCCGTTCCTAGTGGCGAAGGATATCATTCAGGCTGTAGATGTCATAGATCGCATAGATGATGCTGAAATCTACGTTTGTAGCCAATGGCACAACTTATTACAGCCATTTTCAAATTTTGGATGTTGCATGAAGAGAAGGAATCGAAGGTTCAAAATTTTAAATATTATAAGATGCTGAAACTTTGTGCTATTTAGAGTTGCAATATAATGTTTCTAAATGGGTTGATATAAGACCGAGCAAGTAAGTTAGAAATTGGCCCTGTTCGATAGGACAGATATTTACGTGTTCATGGACCCGTGGTTGTAAGCAGTTGATAAGTTTGCTTCTTAATATTGTCTGCCCACCTTGGCCTTAGTCTTCCCAGTGGTCTCTTTCCTTCTGGCTTTTCCAGCAATATCCTCTATGCATTCCGTGTCACCCCCATTCGTGCTATATGCCCTGCCCACTTCATCGTCCTTAACTTGATTATTCTAATTATACTTGGAGAAGAGTACGAGTTACGATTCTCCTCATTATGTGCTTGTTTTGTGAGACTTTGTATTCTAATATAACGCAATGCCTGAAGTTAGCTCTATCTAAACGACGTAACAACCAGGTGATTTATAGTTCTGTAGGGTACCTGACAACGGCCAGAGTGCAAAATCTCTTTAAATCCGAGTGATCCCAAGGAATAGTAGAGAATTTGCAGGCAATTAAGCTAATGACGCCGGAATTAGTGCAATGAAATGTAAGCGTCTCGTATAGATGGCAATTAATACCACTGCAACTAGTACTTGTACTGATCCGTGGACCGTCGTAGCATGGATCTGAAGAAAATAGTAATTCTCGGTAGTTGGTATTCCGTGGTGGGGCAATACTTCCATTTCACCATATATCTTCGTGGTGTGGTGCTTAATTAGTTAAAGCCCAGGGATAGCTTTACCTTTTAATAATCATGATCAGGGGGTGGAATCTTGAATAGGGGAAAGGGCAACACGGTAACTACTGCCTCTATGAATGTCTGCAGTAACTACACGCAGGTCTCGACCAATCAGAGAGCCTAAACAAACCAATTTGAATACCCATAATTACTTGCGGTTATGGTGCTGCATTATATGGAATTTGGTAAGTATGATTGTTTATTTGATGTGGTTGCGAAACGAAAGTAGACATTTGCGAACGAAATTACAGCTCCATATTAAACATATTATTTGTGTATATGAATGTTATGCTTACTAGCACAAATATAATGAGAAACATATAGAATTCTTTCAAGCCTAAATTTTTTTAGGTTATCATGTACTGTCATCTAAATGATATTTTTTTGATATGTTCTGCAATTTTCGGTTTATCCCAGAGATTGTCTGTTGAATGTGAAGGAGTTCTAAGAGTACCGTGACGGTGTTATAATTTTTGTATTGCTTCTTGCAGCATAAAAGTG